AAAACAGATGATTAACATATTTTTTGTCGTATATTGGTATGACGTTGGCGTCGTCGTCGTCCGAAGACACATTGGTTTTCGCACTCTAACTTTAGTTTAAGTTAATGGATCTCTATGAAATTTTACCATAAGGTTCAATACCACAAAAGGAAGGTTGGGATTGATTTTGGGGGTTATGGTACCAACAGTTAAGGAATTAGGGGCCAAAAGAGGGCCAAAAGTAAGCATTTTTGTAACTTCCAGACATAACTTGTGTGTTAGTGTATGGATCTCTCTGACATTGTACCACAAGGTTCCATATCTTAAAGGGAATGCTGGGATTGATTTTGGGGGTAATTGCCTCAAAATATTAGGAATAAGTGGCCAAAAAAGGGGCAAAAAACAAGCATTTTTCTAGTTTCATGACAATAACTTGTGTGAAAGTGTATGGATCTTTCTGAAATTGTACTACAAGGTTCCATATCACAAAGGGAAAGCTGGAATTGAGTTTGGGGGTAATTGCCCGAAACGTTTAGGAATAAGGGGCCAAAAAGGGGCCAAAAATAAGCATTTTTCTAGTTTCCAGACAATAACTTGTGTTCAAGTGTATGGATCTCTCTGAAATTGTACCACAAGGTTCCATATCACACAGGGAATGCTGGGATTGATTTATGGGGTAATTGCCTCAAAATTTTAGGAATTAGGGGCCAAGAAAGGGGCAAAAAACAAGCATTTTTCTAGTTTCATGACAATAACTTGTGTGTAAGTGTTTGGATATTTCTGAAATTGTACTACAAGGTTCCATATCACAAAGGGAAAGCTGGAATTGAGTTTGGGGGTAATTGCCGGAAACGTTTAGGAATTGGGGGCCAAAAAGGGGCCAAAAAACACATTTTTCTAGTTTCCAGACAATAACTTGTGTTCAAGTGTATGGATCTCTCTGAAATTGTACTGCAAGGTACCATACCACAAAGGGAAGGCTGGGATTGAGTTTGGGGGTGATGAATCATAAGGGGGTTAAAAAAATTTTGGGGGGGGAGGGGGATTTTTTTTTTTTCCTTTTTTTTTTCTTTTAAAATTTTCCATTTTAAGTTGGTTATTTCTGATTTATATTTAAAAGCAAATAAGAATAATATGGTAGGAGATACACACCAAACAGGATGTGTAAATTATTATATAATAAGTATTGTGCAATAGCAAGAAATTTTCAATTGCACAGTATTGCACAATAGCGAGAAATCTTCAATTGCACAGTATTGTGCAATAGCAAGAAATCTTCAATTGCACAGTATTGTGCAATAGCAAGAAATATCCAATAGCACAATATTGCACAATAGCAAGAAATTGTCAATTGTGCAGTATTGCGCAATAGCAAGAAATATTCAATTGCACAGTATTGTGCAAAAGAAGATACTTCGTATAAATTGCTTATTTCTTGACCAATTTCAATGGGGTTTTATTCTTGAATTCTTGGGGTTGTTTAATATGCTGAATCTAACCATGTATTAAGTTTTTGGATTTTGGGCCCCGTTTTTAAATTGGTCCACATTGAGGTCCAAAGGGTCCAAAATTAAACTTTGTTTGATTTCATCAAAAATTGAATTATTGGGGTTCTTTGATATGCCGAATCTAACCGTGTATTTAGATTCTTAATTTTTGGTTCCATTTTCAAATTGGTCTACATTAAGGTCCAAAGGGTCCAAAATTAAACTTAGTTTGATTTTAACAAAAATTGAATTCTTGGGGTTCTTTGATATGCTGAATCTAAACATGTGTTTAGATTTTTGATTATGGGCCCAGTTTTCAAGTTTAAATTGTCCAATTTAAAATTTTTAAGTTCTTAGACCACATTCATTCTGTGTCAGAAACCTATGCTGTGTCAAATATTTAATCACAATCCAAATTCAGAGCTGTATCAAGCTTGAATGTTGTGTCCATTCTTGCCCCAACTGTTCAGGGTTCGACCTCTGCGGTCGTATCAAGCTGCACCCTGCGGAGCATTTTATTTTAATCTATGACATGAAATCAAACAGACCTAGAAAATTCCAATTACAACTGTTTGCTATCTATTTATATCTATATTTATGTTTAAATTGGGTTATATGACTGTTGGTATTCTTCAGAGGTCATCTCGATGGTGAATTAGATGGCGTCTAAACTTAAATGCACACAAAATGCTGATACTTATAATCAAGTCCATGCATTGTTGTGTTTATTTTAGACTTTTTATAATTTGGATATAAGTTTAAGTATGTTATAAATTAAATATGAGAATTTGAATCAAATCGGTGAACATGAATTTGACAGCTAAAGACTTTAAAGGTCCAGTGGCAAATATTTCATGCATATTCAGGATGATAAATGTTCTTTGTTGTGGTCTATACGTGGTTGATTTCCGTTTATAAAATGTTTGATTTCAAACGAAACGGATAGGTTGGAATAATTTGTAAGCGAACATCATGTCATTATGCAAATTTCTATTTTGATGTAGTTGCATTCCTTGGCCAACTGTCAAATAGGTTATGTCATGACAAAAACAGACTACAAAATGAGTTTGTTCCATACAAGACATTGTCTGTAGTTGCCTGTATTTAGACGTAATGTCTTATTGACTTACAAATATCAAGTCAACAGTAAACAATTTGTCAACAAATATCGGAGAAAATTACTTTAATTTACTCTGGGGAAATAGATCAGGCGAATTTTATGACGAATTTAGAATAGAAGTTTACACCAGAGTGTTTAGTGTGAAAACGTGAACTTATACCTTAGGATTACAGTGTAATGAGTTTTCTAAAGTACAAAACCCTGTACTTTTCTTTGAAATATAGTAAACAAAAGATGGGATGGCCTGACTGTTGTTTACCTCCCACATATGGTGACCATAAATAGAATAAAACATCATTAAATACAATAACGCCTGTAAATTACTGCAAAGTAATTGTTTGTTATAGTAGATACATATTTTGCCAAAAAGTGTGGTGTCCTCCCTTCTTATAGAATAAGAAAAAAGTACTAATTCAATTGTAAACCTAAGAATTTTTCATGTTCTAAACATCCATTTTATATTCTTCAGGCAAAACTATATTTGTTCATAACAAATGAATTGGAACTGCTATTTTGAAAATGCTTTATTGTAGGGGACTCTCTCCAACTAAAAAAATACACTAGAATTTGCACCCTATAAATACATTATAGAGGTCTTGATCAGTATTGTAATAAAGTCACATGGAAAGAGTAGTTCATCTTCATACTGTAGATTTATTATTATTCATGATTCCATAGTAATTATTTCATGGTTTTTGTGGATATAGATAAACCACAATTTTAAGAATTATGACAAAGATACATTTCCTGTAAGCTTGTCTGTAGAATAATGTCAAAACTATGAAATCGAGTAACCCAGAAAATGTAATTTTCCTTAAGTCTTGAAAATAAGTACCTATCAAAATAATTGAATACACAGTAATTGGCAACCCTGAGACAAGAGTCTTTAATAGAATAGCATTATAGTAATTACGTCAAACAGGTTCTTCTAGTGTGTATCTGCAGATTATATAATGTCATTGGTACTACAGTTCTCTTGGCTGTGCTCTGCATAATTGATTTCAGCAGTTGGTAATTAGGCTACAGTTAGTTTTGATATTGTTTCCCAAACTTGTTTGTTTTAAAGATTGCTACAATATAAGAGTTCTTTTCAATGCTTTACTTTGTTTAATAAAATTACAGGTTATTATTTATTTATATGTCAACATAGTTGGGTTAAGACGAGATATCAGTGTTTCGAATTTTTTTGGGGGAGGGAAAATTGCAAACAATATAAGAATTCTTCAACCATCCAAGACTATGAACTATAAGTTCCATTTTTTTTTTTTTACAAGTTTCAGCAAATAAATGATCAATATAACAATAAGAAGATGTGGTAAAATTGCCAATGAGACAACTCTCCACCAGAGACCAAATGACATAGAAGTTAACAACTATAGGTCACTGTACAGCCTTCAACAATGAGCAAAGCCCATACCGCATAGTCATCTATAAAAGGCCCTGAAATGACAAATGTAAAACAATTCAAACGAGAAAACGAACGGCCTGATTTATGTACAAAATAATGAACGAAAAATAAATATGATACAGAAACTAACAACAACCACTGAATGTTGAATGTTGTACCAGCCATATGGAATGTTGTTCTGTAGTGACATTAGCATTATTTGTTGATCCATTACAGATTACTCTTTCTTGTCACAAGTTAAAGAATGTACAATGATTATACAAACAATGGAATGTGGTATGATTGCCAATTAGACAATTATCCACCAGAATCCAAAGGACATGAATGTTGGTGACAACTACAGGGCCACTGTAAGGCCTTCAACAATGAGAAAAAAACCAAACCTTATTGTAAGCTATAAAGGCCTCACTCACCATGACAAAATGTTGTCAATTCAAAATTAGAAAAATTAACCTTTGGTAGTATCAACTTTTCAGAACAATTGTATTGTAAGCGCTTAAGAATTTTAATGACTTTTATGTACGTTATATGTTTAATATTATTCTTCATATTGCTATTGTGTGAAACAAGGGAAATAAGTCAAATGGAATTTTGAGCAATAATGATTGAATATTTAGTAACTCGATTTATCCATAATACTTGGTTATCAATTTTACATGTTTTATGTGCTAAGTTTTTCCTCTGTGATGTAATTTGTTTACATTGGTAATTTGGACCAAGTAAGTTATGATATATTAAAATATCCAGTGGATAAAGTTTTTGTCCTAGAGACAATCTATGTGTAGGAAATATGCAGTATATCTACTAGATTTTGTCACTTAAAGATTTATCATAGAGCTATAGTTTGTTACATTTGAAGCTATCATTTATGTTTTTCTTATAGACAAGTTTGGTGTTTTTTTAACATGACATTTTGTTCTCACATTAATATTGAACAGGGTTTGCTGTTCATTGAAGTAAATCAAAGCTTAACAATGCATATAAATCTCTTTTTTTTTAATTACAGGTGGTGGATTAGGTGGTACCAGGAAGGGTGGACCAGATGAAAATACCAGGTTTTCTGGAAGGGATGACTTCAGGTATTTATATATAAACTGAAAGACAGATTTTGATTTTAAAAAATGTAGCATCTTTTAATGAAAATTCTTAATTGTCTTGGAATATTTCTATAGATGAGTTGCAAAATTGCAGTGGCGGATCCAGGGGGGAGGGGGGGTTCCAGGGGTTGGACCCTCCTTTTATCCTGGGTTAGGAACCCCCCTTTTATAAATGGCTGGATCTGCCCCTGAATTGTGTTAGAAAGAACCAACTCAGATAATTTTGTTCAAACTCTAATGAGAAAGGGTTGAAACATGTCAAAATCTCATTAAAAATAGAACTTGGTGTATATGTCAGATCTCTCATCATCCCTATATTATTGAGTCCAACCACTCAACTTTTTTTAAAGATTAAAGGATTTTAAAGTTTGCCTTTAAATATGTGTGCTTATCACTCATTTAGAATCATATGGTGATATTTAAAGTGTTGGTATTGGCATGTTTCTGTTTGACTAATGTTTAACCCTTTTCATGTTTTATTCATATCCATCTATAAACTGAACTGTGATTAAAAACAGCATTGTCAATAAAAAGTATGTTTTAAAAAAATTCAACAATAAAGTTTGAAGCCTATGTACAAGTTTAGGTTTATAGATATAGATATGGTCTACAGTATCCTTTGACTTGGTTTATTTCAGGTCAGACAGGGAGAGAGGAAGGGATGAATCTCCACGTAGAGAAGGAGAGCGAGAACGAGGTCCAGTTCCAGAACGAGGTGGTGGAGAAAGAAATCTAGATAGAGGTGCAGATAGAGGTGGTGGTGGTGACAGGAGACGTAGGAGTCGGAGTAGAGACAGGAAGAGGAGTAGAAGCAGAGAAAGGCCAAGGAGTAGGAGTAAAGATAGGGGTAAGGATTGAGTAATATTATGGTGATCTTCTTCATCAAAGTCAAGTTTAAAAATACCATTGAAATTTCACTTTCTGATTTGAGATCAGTTTTGTATAGTCCAAATTATTTTTTTTGAGTATGATTACTTTAGGTAGAACAGTTTTAAAAGTCTTTTCAATCAATTTTGACTCCCAGTGGAAACTGAGGAATAGAAATATGGTCACTTTGGTGGTGTTCCGGCCAACAGTAAAACGCTTGTCAAAATTGGACGTCCACTTGGCTGTGTGGGATGTACAAGTACGCAGCCATGTCTAGTCAGAATGGGAACATTATATCTGATGCCTGTTGTAAATATAATGTCACGCTCTTAGCACGTTAAGTAAGAACCCTTGCAACAAATCTGAGGGGTCTGTAAGCGGCCAGATTCAAGGCAAAGTTTTTGTCGCTATCCAGTATACTCTCATTTTCCAGTGGCAGTCCCTATTTCCTCGACTTTCATCCCAGACCTCCCTATTGTATTTATTGTTGATTTGTTCTCATCCTGAACATGCATGAAATGTTGGCCTCTGCCAACAACAATCTATCCATCAATTTTGGATAGAAGATGTATTTTAATTGGTAGATAGAATAAGCAGCAGGAAAATGTAGAAACACAGGCACTGATTTGTTATCAGATGTTACAGAAACCTTCTTGATGTCCAGTAATGGCGGGCAAATAGCGATAAGGTGTATAGTAAAAACATTGCAAAATTTTCTAAATCTAGACTACTAAATTTCTATTTTCAGATGAGGACAGGAAAAGAAGTAGAAGAAGCAGATCTAGGGAAAGAGGAGGAGAAACTAGGGATAGAGGAGGGGATAGAGGTGGAGATAGAGATCGTAAGAGGAGTAGATCAAGAGAACGTAAAAGGACCCGAAGAAGTAGGTCAAGAGATCGTAGTAGGAGGTCAAGGTCAAGAGAAAGGAAGCCAGAAGAAGGAGAGGATGCACCACAGGAAGATTATGAGGACGTTCAGGTCAAACAGGAAAAATTTGATCCAGGCTACGATCAGTATGCTAATGAACAAAATGGTGGATTCCAGGGAAATATTGAAGACTATTAGATTATCAACCATGGATTCCAAATTATCTATTAGAAAGATTGGATTTTTAAAATTGGTCACTTGGTGGTCATTTTTTTTTTAAACAATATTGTGATATCTAGTAGTCACTTACTGTCACTTAAACATGATTATCTAACTGACAAATTTTGTAAAGGTATTGATTTCAAAACTTTGAAGTTATTTATTAAAACTGTAATTACATGAAGTGTATATTTAAGAAGTTATTTGTATACAAAATGTTTCAAAAATTGGATGTGGAAAATGTTAATATTGATACTTTCACAAAATTTCAATAGTTTTTCCATAGTTATAAATGTTGTAAATTTGTGTAATACCAAATTTATAATTTTAAAGTTTTTAAAGTGCTTCATCATATTTTTTTCATTTGGAAGACAATGCTACATAGTTGTATCATAACAGTACATTATTCCCTCATTCATCTTTTCTGCCATTGTCTATTTATAGGTTGACCAATTCATATGCATTTCTGAAAATGAAAGATCTGAACAATTCTCTAATGTAAAATTACCATTTATGAATGAACTAACTTCTACTCTTTTAGAGTATACCATTTCTAGTTAAAAATCAAAATATGAAGTCTCATCTTTAATATTTTAAGGTTTGGAAATTGGCTAATAAGTATGAATTCAAAAGTTTCAATTTTAATGTCATTGTCAGAATGAAAAAAAACTTAATTTATTTTGGCCTTAGATGTGTATATTAATAGAAAAATTAAGTTAATTTGTGTCATCATTATATATATGTATTTTATGATTTTAGAACTGTACAGTTTTTATTTTTTACATCTGAAGGTTCTCCTGTATAAGTCAATCAGAGTTACTTCCCTTCACCAATCATCCATTTGTCATCATGCTACACTTTTTGTGTTCGATTTAACTCCTCAGAATTATGTTGATTGTCATAGTGAGGATTTGTTGTCAATAAACTAATTAAATCATTATTTATTTTGATTGTTTATTAACTCTCATGATGTATATATAATATTATATAAAAGCAATGCTGTATAATTTTAGTTTGCTCGAAGTTCCTTTTCTTGAATTAACTTCATCAAGAACTCTCAAATCCCCAAATTCAAAAGCTTCTCGAGGATCCATATATATATATTTGAAATGATTATCATAGATTTCAAAAGCAAGTCTAACTTGAAACTTTCCTCACATGATTTATAATTGTATTGCAATGTTAAGAAAGGAGCAATCAATCAATTGATTTATATAATTTTGTTGGTTGTGAATGATAAGGGGCATTTAAAATTTGATTAACTGTGGTAATTTTCCCAAATATACTTACAAAGAAATGAAAACGATGAATATTTTTACAATCTCCATGCATAAACTTTTTGTACAAGCAGACCTACCAACTATCACTTTTATGGGGGATATCCCCTATGAGATAGAGGTGTTGACCTGAATTTTGAAATTCTTTATTTTATAAACTGAACACCTTAAAACAGACATTCAATTTAGTTAAAAGGGTATTTAAGCACAGACATATTCGTTCAAACAATATAGGAGTAGATTAAAAACACTTAAGACAATAAAAGACAAGCAAAAGTTCCTCTTGTGCTTAAAATCCCCCATGGAGATTTTGAAAAGTTGGCAGGTATGTGCAAGGGTTAAATGCCCCCTTACATCAAATACTTATTTGCACTGATGATATTTTTCTTTAAAGTGAGACTCCTTTCCACCAAAGATCAAATGATGTGTGGTTGTAAGCAACTAAAGCTCACTGTACAGCCTTAAACAATGAGCAAAACCCATACTTTAAGTCCTCCTTTAAAGGTCTTAGCTTGCCAAGTGATCTTAATTGTTTTAATCATTTTTGTCGAGCCTGCGACTTTTGTCGCAAAAGTGAGACAGCGATCCTACATTCCATCGGCGGCGTCCATAATAAAGTTTTTAAAATTTTTAAATTTTAATAACTTTCTTAAACTATCCTGGATTTTTACCAAACTTGGACAGAAGCTTGTTTATGATCATAAGATATTATCCTGAAGTAAATTTTGTAAAAAAAAAATCCTGTTTATCGGTATTTTACTTATAAATGGACTTAGTTTTTCTTCCAGTTAAAATTACATACAGTCTGCAATTAAAGTTTTTAAAACATTTATTAGATTGATAAACCATTTCATTAACTGTATCTATTATGTACATTCCCCTATCACACTGAAAACATAAACAACAGCAAAAGTAGGCGAGATACTGGGTTCCGCGGAACCCTTACAAATTTTTCTACTAGAGTTTGAATAGGTTTTTTGTCAGACAGTTGATCTGTAGTTAGCTGTTAGCTTTAACAGATCTATATGTAATAAGTAAAAATATTACTATCCATTTGTAAGGATTATTCATGATCATGCATCTATATTTTTCTAAAACCTTGAACAGTGTGAAGGTCAAGTAATAGGTCTGTGTGTTCAATCCTCAATTAACGACTTGGATGTTCTTGTGTTAGAGCCGAAAGTTATATCTAAAGTTAAGTTAAAGCTTTGGACTTTTAAAATGATATTTGCTTCTGTACCACCATGGAAGAAATCTGTCCGTAAAGCAATCGTCCGCTATTGGAAAAATTTACTAATACAAAAAAGTCGTACTTATATCTCATGCATTGAAATACCTTGGAACATTAAACTTATCACCAGGAAACTGTCATACTTTATTATCCATTGGTAATACAAGTGACTCAACCAGAGAGGCTGTCCGCATGTCCGTAAAATTAAAACTTATTACTGATACTTACATTCTACAATCTCGTAGATCAAGATATAACCTGAACGAAACACCTATCTGTAAAGTGTAAACTATGTGATATAGATGTCGAAGATGGCTCTCACTTTTTACTAAATTGTAAAATACTTCAAGACATTAGAGAAAAATATCTCAACCAAAGTGACGAACTAATTTCTGATCTCTTAAACATCAGAATAAATAAGAGACATACCAATCGATGACCAAATACAAATAACTCAACCCTGATGCTTTTACTGTATTTAAGGTACATATAGATAACCGAAACATACCTACTCATTTGAGGTTGTCCCGACGTGGACAGAAGAAGAATTCCAGAGGAAGATAGCAGTCATATTGAGTTGGGTTTTAACTTATTGATAACAAAATCAATATTTATACCGATAAAACAATATTCAAAGAACAAATTACAGTGTTAAATTGGTAACCTTTCAGAATAAGTTTATTTAAAGGATCAAAGTTTACCAAGATTGTATCTAAATTTACGAGCTATATAAACAATATCGCCGTAAAAATTGCGATGTGCTTTCCCGTTTATAATAAATATAAAAATATAAAAATAAGGAGATTTGGTATGATTGTCAATGAGACAACTTTCCACCAAAGTTCAAATGAAGTGGATGTAAGCAATTTTAGGCCACCGTACGGCCTTCAACAATGAGAAAAACCCATACCGTATAGTCGGCTATAAAAGTCCCGACAAGAAAAATATGAAACGAATCAATTGAGAAAACAAACGGCTTAATATATAACAAAACAATTATGAAAAAACAAATATTACAGACACGAACCAACGACAATCACTTAATTACAGGCTCCTGACTTGGTACAGGCACATAAAAAATGTGGCGGGGTTAAACATGTTTGAAGGTGTCAACCCAATAAGTTTTCTACAGTTACAGCCAAACTTCCAAACCAAATATTTGTATCTATGAAAGAATTTTGTAAATGTTTTATTATAGGTAATCTGTAGTAACAAAATCCTTGACTTAATAATTTACCAGTGATACATAGATTACGTTTGTTAACATAAAAAAATGTCACTATATAAAAACCGTAAGATGGGGCCAAAGGAACATCACCGTCCAAAAAAGGAGAATTAATAATTTTCATAAATTATTGTGTAGAGTTTCCTATTTAAATCTCAAATATCTTACTTTAGGAAAGAACAGTTATTGCTGTTTATATTTGATTTATTTAAAGTAAGTTTCTTAAGATAATGATATCTAATATGATTTACCTTTTTCAATACAGTAGAAGGCTTTATTTGAGTTGCAGCCGATATATCTTTTTGGTTAACTGTTGATATATATTTATATAACTTTCTTGTGTTTCTCAGATGCAAATCCAGGATTTGAGAAGAAAAGGGGGGTGGAGCAAACTAGGCAACGTTCGGATTTGGACATGTAAAAAGTCTATGCATTAACCATATATGTAGCACCAAAAGCCTCCCCAGCCTAAATCTGCATCTGTTTCTAATTGTCAGCTTCTTAGCTCTTCCATGATTTAATATAGAGTGTTGTTCTCAGGGGCGGAACCAGGATTTTTGAAAAGGGGTCATTATTCTAGAAAACTGGATATATACTGCTGAGTGTAGAGAAGTAAAAATAATATTGGACGATTTTATACATAAAAAAATTATATAGTTAATAAATGGTGAGAAAACAAGAGATTTTATTTTTTTTTGGTAATCAAAGTTGGGACCTACGTCCTCTACGCCCCACCCCATGGATCCGCCTCTGGTTATTATCTGTTTTGAATTATCGGTACTTTAAGGTAGATTCATGGTATACCGCCATCTTGGATTGTACAATCGCAGTACACAATCGGTCTAGATCTTTGCCCAAATCTGCAAATTTGGAGACAGATAGGCAATTTATAGGTTAGACTGTTTATTTAATGAAAGAAAACTTAGTGATTTATTGCATTATTCAAAATGTTTAAATAAATACCAAATAATTGTGTTTTTATAATCATTTTTTCAGCTTGGCCATTTAAGGGGAGATAACTCTTTTAGTAAAAAAATTATACTGGACTGATAGGGAAATTTTAATTTTTTACTTGTAGCAAGAAAACAAGTTCGATGACACCATTTTTTCTTTTTATTTTCTTAAAGCATATTATAAAACCTATCTTCTCATATTATATTTCAAAATTCTATCTCATAGATTTCATTTTAAGCACAAAATTTGTGTTTTTTCATGAACAATCTAAGCAAATTTGTGCAATTTCATACGACCCGTAGCTTGAAAAATGGTACGGTGACCCATACTTTTTATTATATTTTTGGAAAAAGCATAGAAAAATCTTTATTTTGGCAAAGTATAAAAAAATTCTATCTGAGGAAATATATACCTATGATCTACCTTAAATTGTAAAACCAAAATCCTACATATCCAAAAAAAAACCTAAAGCTGTTAAAAAAAAGTTAGTTTGGCTTAAAAAAGTACCACGACGTTTCAATCCCGTCATCTTCTAAAGTTTCTCGTTCTTCCATTGTAAAAAGTACCTCTGAGGTGGACTTTGTCTGAGCAAATTGTCGCACTGCCTTAATACATCCTAAAAATGAATGCTTCTCTTTTCCAGTAAGGTATGTTGATTTGAACTTACGATATCGAAATGCTATATAATCTCGTCCAGGTTTATATATTCCACACCATGGGTCATGTTTTGTCTTACGTAGATCCCTCTTGTTAACACAGTAATCATTTCCGGAAAATAATCCTCCTGGTTTCAATGTTGGATACCAAACTCGGGCAAAGGGTCATGTCTTTTAAAACATTGAAACCATGTTGAATTTTTAAATTGTTTTGATGCACTGTAAGAATCATTGTATAAAAATGTTCCATTTCTCGATCTCCATTTCGTCAAGTTTTCATTTAGTTTGGGTTGGATATTTACATCTACCAGTCCATTGTATATTTCCCATTCCAATTTTCAAGATTGTGTTCAGCAAAATCGCCATCGTAAACTCCAATTTCAATCGCCATGGTTGCCATATGGATGGTTTCGTATCATGTATTGTATACTAGTAAATTGATCTCTATATTTGAAGGAATTTATATTTCTTAAATTTGAAGCATAAATTTAATTACTGGTACTCATTTGTTTAGAAAATTACTCTCTTTTCATATTGCAGATTCCAGCGAAGATGAATATATACAACTGCAGCAAATATAAAGCAGCATACAATTCT